TCGCTTATTCCTGTTTTCAATATACTGAGTCAAAATTTCCAAGGTTGGAAGCCTACAGGAAGAGTTCAAAGACAGCGTGTTTGTGCAAGAACTGAACGCAGCCAGCTTCTCATTATTAAAACCTTGCAGGAGGAAAAAGCAGACATCTCTGGAAGAGGAAAGCAAGCTTTTGTTTCAAGGAGCTGATAGTTTTACTACCTCTTCTGCTGCCAGGATAAGGTCCCCAGCTGGTGTAAGTAGCGCAGCTCTGCTGAAGTGTGTGGAGCTGTGCCAGGTAACACCCATCTGCAATCAGGCCCGCAGGCAGGATGCCTTCCTGCTGTCAGAGTGCAGAGCTGCTCCTCACTGCAGGCAGGTCTGTAGTGTAGTCCAGCATGCCACTGAGCGTCCCTTGCTTCCTCTGCTCCACGTGTCTCTTAACAAGTGTGTTGCTTCAAAGAAATCATGAGCAGGCCACCTGTCTTTTATCATTGCTTTCTCTCTTGCCTTCTCTTAGTTTTTGTTAGTTTTTGTTGGTTTTTATCCTAAACTAAACCATATTAATTGTGAGCTGTAATGCCTTTGAAAAGACTACAGAGATTAATGAGCTAAAACTGGCAATGTGCAATAATGCATGTCAGATAAACCATTTTTCCTATAATCTTCAACACTTTAGAATCTTGACATAAATATTTTAAAGCAGTGTAACAAGTGTAATCTCTGAAGGTACCAGCAGTAGGTGTACTGTACAAGTAAATAATCAGTACTTCAGTACAATGCCAGTAACCTGTGTATCACTGTAAGTTCCAGGCAATATGAAGACAACTTGTGAAGCTTAAGAATCCTTTATCCTTCAGTTTTCCCTCTTTGTGTCCCTTTTCAATTCAGCTAAAAAGAACATGTGCAGCTCTTAATAAGGTCGTTCTTAACCATAGCTGCAAACTGGGGAGCATTAGTGGGCTTCATTTCAATTAGCAGAGGGTTGGTTTTCCTTTGTCCAGGCTTTCTGTTCTCTTTGAACATGTGCTGTGTTGTGGTTCACTTGTTTTAGGGAGTGTAACGACCTGAGTATCCTCCAAGCTATGCTGTAGGCTATTTGCATAGGCTGTGGAGGCTGTAAATCCTCAAGAATTTTGAAAACTAGGAAGTTCTGAACAAATATATTTGCTGAGGCTCTGATCCTGTAGTTAGTGCTGTACAGGCAAATTCTTGCCCTCAAATAGATGCAGTTGTATCCTTTTAGTTCTGACTCTGCAGATTTTTGCTCGTAAAAAGAGGTGGTTAGCAAGACTAAAAGATGCAAGATGACAGCCTCAAGAATCAAAGAAAATAGTTCTTAAATAAAGTGCCTGTGATTAAACATACCACAGTGAGATTTGGTCTAAGATCTAATTCTAAACTGAATTCCATCACTTCTATGCTGATTTAATCTGCAGTGTAGGGGGAAAATGGAGCCAATGAGACCAAAATAAACATTTTGCTCTGATCTGCCTCCACTATCTGACTTTGGAGGGTCCCATATAGGACAAGAAAAAGCACTGAAATACAGTTGAAAACCTTAAGGGTTTTATTGCTCTTATCAGTACAGCGCGTAAGATGGTTGTTTATATGCTGTGTGTATGTGGTCTTGGACCACAAAACTTGACATGAGAAAGGAAAGTGTTGACACTTGGTAAAGAAGTAGGTTCCTCCCAGCCAGCCACCCACCAGTGTTTGTAGCAATCGTCTCCTAATGTGCTTTTTTTCCCCTCCAGATATATGCGAATGCTCTGATCTTTTATTAGGCTCTTTAATGCATCTCTGCAAGTGACATTACTATTTTGAGATGTTTCTAAAACACTGAAGTGGCTCTTTTGCATCGGCGTTGGCTTTCTTCAAATGAGTTCCGTGGGGATTTTCAAAAGGATACCCGTCCCATCACCAGCTGTTCGAGGACATGGATTTAGCAGGGTAGAATTGCAAAAGGAGGTGTTTGGCACTTAGGGCCCTGTTTCTTTTGCTTTGGAGTTGAAGTTCTTGGTATTTAAAAGAAAGAGAAATGAAACGATCAACTCCTATGCCGTGCGCATATGGTTTGATAAATACTGAAGGGCCTGGAATCTTGCGTGGCTGACACTTTGTTTCCAGCTTTGTGGTAAACAGCTGAATAGAGAGGAGAAGGCAGCAAGTATTAAGCTGCATCCGCCAAGAACATCTGTATTTATGAAAACTTTCCCTAATCGAAAATCTAGTAGTTTCAAATGCTGAGCATTTGGAAACTAGCTTAGGGGCGGCTAAGACAGCAAGAAGCAGCAGTGGCTGTGAGCCCCCCGTTCAGCTCACTTCCCCACCCACCTCCTTGTAAAGTGGGCATACAGGAGACATTAATGAAGTCTTAATTAAAAGGTTCTGTCGTCAGACTCCAGCCACACTGTCCTGAAGTTCTTCTTTCAGCCCCTTTCCTTTGCCACCTCCCCTGCCTCCATCACTCCTCCCCACTATTTCCTCCTGGTCTTTAAGATCTACTACACCAGAAATATTTTTGGAAATACCACAGACTATTGTTTTTATTAGTGACTGGAAAGCTTTGTAGTAGGATGCTTTTGTGTTTCATTTGTTTTCTTTTCTCTGGCACAGCTGTTTTTGTTTTAGCAGCATTAGAGAGATGGTTAAACTATTTGTGGCCTTCTCTAACCCAGCAGATCTCTTCCACCGAATGCTTTAAGCTGAATGGCCGAAACTGTAACTAACAGGTTGTCTGCGTGGGCAGTTCATGCATAAAGTTACATATTCACTGGTTTTATGAGATCTCCTAGTTTGTTCGGCAAGTCCCACTTTCCCTATAAATTTTCCAGCCAGAACATTGACAGAGCCTTCACTCGGGAAGATACAGAACAGATGAAGGAGTAGATCTTGTTCAGACCTACGCGCGCTCGGAAATGATTAGTGGAGAAGAGGTTTATGTGGGTATGGTGATCCCCACTTCAGCCAGGAGGGGACAGGAAGAAAAGACACAGCAGGTCAGCACCTGCAGCAGAATATGGTTGGAGGACAAGTGTGTCAAAGGTGGTGTGCAGCAGGTGGAAGTGCCTGAGTTACAAGGAGCAAGATGGGACATCAGGAACCAGGCACTCGGTTGGGAAATGGTGGCAGCAGAAAGCTGCAAGTGGAGAATGAAGGGAACGAAAAGGAAAGTAAAATGAAAAAGTAAATGGAAAGTGAAAATAAGAACCACTTGTGCAAAGGCAGTGTAAAAGCAAATGGAAAAAGAGAGAATGAATTGTACTGGGGACTTCGGTGCTTGTGCATGGTGAGGTGATCTAAGCAATACTGGAAGTATGGGCTAGTGAACAAGAGAAACAGAAGATAATGTAGCTGAGATGTTGTCTAACTAAGTCCCATTCTTACTACATGTTTCTAGCACATCCTCTGTTGTGAGCACGAGTGCCTGCACAGTGCCTGCACAGTGCCAGTGGTTGGAGAATTCGTCTGCATGACAGTGCTGTGGCAGTTTTCTTCCTGGCCGGGAGCGGCAGGTGGAGGACCTGGCTAGATTCATTGTGTGACTGTGAGAGCCCAGGGCCGGTGCTGGGGAGGCAGCGGGAAGCAGCAGCCGTGTGGGAATGGGTTTGGGGGCACCATCCCTGTCAGCACCGTACAGCATTAGAAATGCAGCGCATGGATCAGCTTGCTGATGAAATATAATGTGGGTAGAGTGGGGAAAGGGCATTCTCTATAGGCCCCTGCCTGCATTAATGATGAGTGTGGCTCTTCTCTTTTGCATGCAGTGGGTAGGGAGGCAACTGTGCTTGGCAGTTTGCTTTCTTGGTGACACTGCAAAAGAAAGCTGAGCTGACTTTTCTAGCGGACTTTCTCTGCTGTTTTTGGCCTTCTTTCTTTCTTTTTTTTACATTTAAAATAATTGTTTTCAAGTCTTCTGTCTGTTCTGCTGGGGGAAATATCTGTGGATTAGTGGCTGAATGAGGATAATGTAGGAACCAAAATTTGTGTCTGAAATGTTTGAAAAACTACAGTCCTGCAGTGTGCTGGAGCACAGCACAGCAGTGGCTCAAATCCCCTGAAACCAGGGCAAGTCTGCATAGTGTCTGCAGCAGGACCTATGGTACATGCTACAGGACATTACTGAAGTGAATACAGTAGTTCAAAGAAGTATCAAGGACTAGGCAAGACAGGATTTAAGACAACATATTTTGGATCAATTAGAATTCCTTATAAAATCAGACTTCATGCCACAGAACTAAAGCTTCTCATCAGTTAACAGTTGTCCTTACTGCAGTAACGTGTATGGTCACAACTGCATATAATTCCGTAACTTGCTTACTCTGAATGCTTGCATGTAGCTGAGCATTGTCCTGTGAATGAGAGGGTGTGAATTGTTTGATGCAAGTGACAAAATGTATGGAAGGAATTGTCAGGTTGGGCCTCTGGGATCTCTGGAAAGAATAGGGAAGCATCTCATGGGATCACCACATTTTCCATCTGAGCATTCCTCATTTACTTTGCAAAAGAAGGTGAGAGCGAGTTGTCTTTAAGCTTACCATAGGCTGAGTAAGATAGCTGCCTAAGATATGAGCAGTCTTGTAGAATGCCTTCAGTGAGAAAATACATTAATGTATTGATGTATTGAGATCTGTTCTCCTTACTGTGAATTGTGTTGAGAATGTACCCCATCTATGATGCCCTGTGTCTGTAATGACTCATACCTGCTTCTCTGTGTGTGTTGTTCAGCAGACTTTACTTATTGCAGTACTGTAAAGCGAATTGTTCACGTCTATATCCCCAGAAGATAAGAAGCAAGACAGCTTCTGCCAGTGGGAAGGCACCTTGAAAGCACAGAAATATCAGCTGTCTGTCCTACAATGCCATAACAGTCCATATATCTGCATTTTGCTCATTCCATGCTTTTATTCTAAATGAAGCGGCGATGTGTATATCTCAATTGAACTTTCTGAATTGTTACCTACAGCTGTTTCCAGCCCATTACCTTTGCACTGACTGTTTTCCCAACTGACACGTTTCAGGGCTCCAGAGAGTGCGCCAGCTAGGGAAAAACACGAGATACTTCAGAAGAAGACTGCACGAAATGGGCTTCATCATCTATGGCAATGATGATTCTCCTGTGGTCCCATTACTCCTTTATATGCCTGGTAAGATAGGGTAAGTACTGAAAACATCTGATAAGCAAAACCAACATCTTCCACTTTGAAGGTTACTTGGTATAAGCTATATATAGTTGATATATAGAGAAAAATATAGTTGTTTTTGGTAGATGTTTCATAGAAGCAGCATCTGTTAGGTGATTTCATGGAATAACATTCCTGATAACATTTAGAAATTGGATTTTTTAACTAGCAATCCTTGAAAGGGATAAATAGCCTTTGATGTATGAGTTAGTTTTGATGGATTCTGTTTATCCCCATCTGATATTCGAACAGTCTTTGCACAGAGAAGATAAACATTCAGTACCCATTCAGTACCCATCGAGCAGCACTTATGCTGTGACACAGACATAACAAATATAGTGGTCAGCACACAGGGAGATTTTGCAGGTTACCTAGAGTGGTTGTGTGCTCTAGGTGTAGTACAAGCCTCGCAAAATGCTCCCAAACAAGCAGAATGCTTGTAGGAGCAACTAAACCATCACACAGTTTGTTTGATTCCTGTTGATGAGCTGGAAACAAGCTCCAAGACCTTCCAAAGGCCTGACTTCTTCAGTGCTTGAGGTCTGCAAAGGCCCATACACTTTGATTTGCACTCAACGCCTTTGATTGACATGAATGACTCGGTTCTACTCTACAATACTTCCTCTGCTGTCGTACCACTAGTATTTGATACTCACTTGGTTTTGTGAGCTGTTAAACAGCAAACAATTTGGTCCTACTGGTAAGATTCTGGCTTTTATGGAATTCAGTGAGAATGTTACCATCCACTTCAATTGAAGTCAAGATTTTACCCATTGTTTTATTACACTTGAATGTTTTCTCTTTGTGGTCAGTTTATTAGAGGTAATTTACTTCTGTTTTTTTTCTTTCTCCCTCTGTAGGGCTTTTGCAAGACGCATGTTAGAAAAAAATATCGGGGTTGTTGTGGTTGGGTTTCCAGCTACTCCTATCACAGAGTCCAGGGCTCGGTTTTGTGTGTCAGCTGCACATACACGGGAGATGTTAGACACGGTAAGCACAGATGTCCTGCTGAAATTAATTTCAGATGCCAAGGGGGTTGGGAGGAGCTGTGTCTCTGTTACTTTGTATCTCAGTAATTCATTTTTACGTTTGTTCTTCTAGTCTTATCACTTGATCTTTAAAGGCATTGTAGCCTTATATATTTTATTTTAAAATACAGATTATGAGACAGTTAACTTACTATGTTCTTCTATTTCCAGTAGTGGCCAAATCTGTCACAACTAATGAAGACATACATGAAAAACACAGCAAGACAAAAAAGTTAACTGATAGGTCAAAACTATCAGAGTAGGAAACCTGAACTGATGTGCAATAATTGCAGATCAGTTTTTCTATGCCCCTGTGTTCATTCTGTATTTCTACTTGTTTCTCAAATTGCAGTAGTACATGGGACAGCCTTGGGGGTACAGGTGGAAACTGTAAACCGTATTTAGAATGATTTAAACCTAATGAGGTTTAATTGGTGCTGTCTGGCCCCTTCTGCTCCGTAACTTTCTCTGACAACAGAAAGACTATCAAGAATACATTGAGACTTCCATTCCAACACAGTCAGAAATGTGTTTAAAAAAAAAAAAACCAAGCTCTTTGACATTTTTCATCTCCCCTTCTTGCTGAAGGTCTTTTTTTCTTGGCTTCGTATATAATCATCATTCTCAGAATAAACCAACTTAGAGGCAGGCAGTGCTGAGGGTAGCAGTACGTTTCAAGATTTCATTTTCTTCTCTTTGTACAAGTGTGATGCTTAAAGGAAAAACAAACCATAAAACTAACCCCGGGAATATAGAAGGCATTTGAGTAGAAGATGCCACTTCTTCATGCAGGCAAACACCTGTGTCTGCCTGAAAAGAGCCCCTGACTCCTGTTTGCGTCCTGAGATTCGTATGGGCTAGAGGTGGGAGCCCTGACTGGTTAACCAGCTCCTGTGCCAATGTGGGCCTCACTCGAACAACACTGAGAAATCTGCTTTGCATGTGTGCAGTGCAAAATCCCTGCTGCTCTTAAAGTTGCAGTAGTTATTAGCGGGGTATGATGTCATAAAATCGCGTTATGTACATGCCTTGATTGCTGTCACCTTTTACTCTTTGGCTGTACAGATTTTGGCTTACATAACTGGTAGAAATAAAGGAGGTTGATCTGAAGATTAATCTCTTGAGGTTGCTGCTTTCCTTTGCTTCCTCACCACCCACCCCAAGCTTACATCTATCAAGCTTACATCTGTAAGCTATCACTGCATGTTTGCTTCTCCTACTTGCACATCACTGCTTCCTGGTGCCAGTGACAGCCTGAAACATTTCCCAGCTATCATTCTTGAACGTACTGTGGTTTTACCTTGGAAATTGAAGTCATTTCTGTACTGTTTGTGGCATTCTTTAAATGTCCTTACATTGTGGGGGAATGGAAATGCCCTGAGTTTAATTACACGCAGGCTGAAAGGTTTTCTTAGGGCAAATACTTTGTGAACATTCCTAAATCCAGTGTAGTAACAGGTAACAAGCACAATGAAAACCTCCACCTCCCTTTGGCAAAACTTACTTTGAATTTTAGTCTGGAACTATGAAAAGGAAAGATCCACTTAAAGGGCAAGCTGTCAATAACAACCTCCTTAATGATTTTGAAGCTATCTTTTTGCATGAGCCATTACTGAAATATTTCTCTCTATTCTTGAACACATTTCAGTGGCCTAACAGAAACAGGCTCACAATCTAATTTGCTGTTTTCTTTGCCAAAGGTCTGGCACTTCTTGAGTGTGGTTAAGATGCTGCAAGACGTTTCGCTGCTTTTCTGTGATGTAGCACTTTTTGAATCTGCTGAGAGCTGGGGGCACAGCTCAGCAAATTGCAATACAGTCCTAAAGCATTACTAATTCTGCCTGTGATACTACAAGAAAACAGTGGAACGCATTAGAAATACCTTGCAGGGTGTTTACAAGGACTCTGATTAGCATTTTGTTCTGAGTCTCATCCAAGAAAATACATTTCAGTCTTCAGGATCTGTATGTTACATGTGTCTTTTTCAAAAGCAATCATCACTTTTTACCTGGATTATTGTTTGACCCCATGCTTCTAGAATGTCATCTTTTTAATCTGTGCTCACATTCTGACTGATACACCATGATCTACTGAAGGAGTCCTTTCTCATGCATTCTCATGGATGCTGTTGTACATCAGTGGCTGAATATTCATTATGAGAAACGTGAAAGCAACATTTGCCCTTTGTACACTTTGTGTGATGGCTTTATGGCCTTGTTCTTCTGCTGTAAAGTTGAAGATAATGAAACTCCATATCTTTTCCCAAGAGAATTGACACAGTGTGATGGTTCTTACACAGGTTTTGAATGCTCTGGATGAATTGGGTGATTTTCTACAGCTGAAATATTCACGGTATTCCAAGTCATCTCATCCTGAACTGTATGAAGAAAATCGGTTTGAATTTGAAGATTAAGTTTTCTGCCTATGAAGAGAACATTATGATGCTACAAAGGGGGGAAAACCCAAAAACCAAATATGAATGCATTTCTTTCCTTCTAAGGACAATTTTTGTTTCTCAGTTAATTGAAAGGAGGGAAAGCTTGATTTTTGCGTTTTAGTGTATCAAATTTCTGTATTTAAGAGACTGAAATATTGATACAGATTTGCCTCCCAGGAGATCTGTTCTTCTTATGGTATTTTTTATGCAGAATGAATGCATCCATTGATCATGTTGCTAGCATACAGCTTTTGTTATGGCCCCTTTTTATGAAGAGGCTTCAGATAGTCCTAATTTTGACTGAAAGAATAAAGGTTAAAAACCAAATGGATCCAGTGTAGTATGGCAGTATAACTGAGCTTCATCAGTGAAATTGAATTCTGTCTGCTGAAGAGCATAAATCAAGACATCGCTGTGGATTGCTACAGAGCAGAAAGTGACCTCTTAACTAATTTGCCCTATCATGCCTTTTTCCAGGGACAAAAAAAGAGTTAGAAGACGGCTAATGCTGAGAACAAGAACAGTTACCTCATCAGATATTTCTGACAACAGATTATGGGAAAGAGGAATGTTTCCTCCCTTCCACAGACCCTTTCTCTGCCACTTCAATATACTGTAAGCCTCATATTATAGAAAAGTTGGGGCTTAGAAATAAAGAAATGTTTTTATTCTAATGTATTTGACCTACAGCCTTCCCCATCTTAGCACGACGAGAGCTTCTCAGCAGGCTTGCTCCCTTTTCATGTAGCAGCAGTAAATAATTTTAATAACCATTTAACTTTCCCGTAAAAAGCTTGATCAAAACAGTCAGATACTCGCAGTTCACAAACTGCAGATGACATTTATGGGCCCATTCCTAAGTTTCCTGAACTACTTATGGGCTTAATAAATTCACTAACAAGTACATAATGCCCAAGTTGTTAGTTATACAGAATTGTGACGTTCGGGATACCACGAGCAGTTCTCCCACCTGCTAAATTGAGAGCTCCGCCATTCCTAACTGCACTAAGGTCACCCACTTAATAACATTTCTTGAAATGTTCTTGTCTGGTTTATGCATGCCAGGGATTGTTTTGCTTGTCAGGCTGCAGGCTTTTTGAGTGGCTTATTTTTCCAATAATTGATTATGTCATCTGAGAGGAAGACGTCCTTGTTCTCCTTTCCACTGCTCAAGTGACAAATGCTCAAAGATGCTTGGAGGAAATGTTACAGTCTGCAGCTTCCCTGCAATGCCTTCAGCAGCAGAACCATCGGCCTCGTGTGGGCTGGGTAGTTGGAGGGATATTGTAGCTTTTTCCCTTTTCTGTGGTGTTGAAAAGTGGTTCTGCAGCTTTAAGAATGAACTCCAAACCATTCCACACTATCAAATGTCATTGTAAACACATCAGATGAGAGATGTTTAGGTTTCTGTTGCACAGATGTACCACACTTTCATGTTCTCTTGAAAGCTGTGGTGTAAACTTAACCCGCAGCTGCAATATTAGATTTAAGAACAGTACAATTAAATTGCGGAGTACCAATTACACTATATTACTCTCTGCTTGTTAAAGCTGCTTTCAGGATATAACAAGGCTGATTGGTTATGAGGGGCCACTTTTTGTTGGGTTTTTGTTGTTGTTGTCATGCAAGTTAATAAAAATCCAGTGGTGCTATAACTTTAAGAACTGATTACAACACATTCCATGATATCAGATGTTGGCTTTAGGAAACATTTATCAAGGGCTGGGGCGGGACTAAGTGGTGTCATGTGATTCTTCGCTCCAGACTTGAAAAGCACTGCAGAGGTCCAAGGGAGCTGTGTTTGTGGATAAGAGCAAATTCACTGTATAAATATTAAAATATCCTTGGACATGGGACATGGAGAAATTAGGAAAGGTGGGCTTTGTCTTTAAGTAACTTGGTGATTTGTGATTTGCAGCTTAGCTACATGCAGGGTGAGTGCACTACTACAAAGGAGATGGGCTGAGAAATTTTCACAACCTGTTCCTCGAGGAAAAGTACTGAGCGTGATATATTGCATTTTGATCTCCATTGCCGAACATCTGCGGCCAGATCCTCAGTTGACTTCTGACCTTCCATCTTGGGGTGTCTGGCCATAGTTTATATTTCAGCAAGCATTATTATATGTGCTGTTGCAGGCAGCATGCTTTTTTCCTCAAAGAGAGGCCTGAGATTGATTAAGCTACGGAATAATCACTTTTTGTCCCCCTATAGGGGAATGTTTTCTGTCTAAGGCTGAATTCCTCCTGCCCTCAGAACATTACTCTCTCATATTAAGGAGACAGGACAGCTATTTTTCAGAGACTGTTGGTTGATTTATTGTATGCTTTCTTCTGATTTCTTCCATCCCTTACACATTAGAGCAAGTACAGGCGGACTATCCCTGTGCTTGGGGAATGTTCTGGGAGAAATCCCTGCCCCACTGGTGCAATAATACAACCCCCAGGAACTCCAGACTCTTAGATTTTTCCCCATGAGGCTGAGTTATGGTCTGGCACTGGTTGTTCCACCAGTGTAATTTCAGTGAAGATTTTCCAGATTTACATCAATTTTAGTAGATTTAGAGCTGATCACCACTTGGAAGACCCTATTTTAGCTAGCTTAAGAAGAAACTGGTGGAGTATTTATTAGGGAATTAGCACATCTAGCATAAGGATCACATTTCCTGCAATATACTCCATCTTCAAGTGCGCATGTTCTTGGGAGACGTAGTTCTCTGTAATTGTTTTAGGGGGTTTTGAAGAACTGTTTTCAATAAATAAAAACTGCTCAAGTCGTCATATTTTAACCCAGCAGAAATGTAAGTATGTGCACACCAACTTTTGGCTGGCAAACTACAGTTAGTTCCAGCATCTCGTTATCTTACCTAAAATCTTGATTGACCTTCATGCTAGGGGAAGACTCCAGTTGTCTGTTTGACAAAGCAGCTGAGTTGTTTGCTCTTCCCTGTACGTTTATCCCACCTCATCTTTCAGAAAGCCTACATTTCCTGGGCTTATCTTATTTGTCAAGGTGGTTCTTCCCTCTTTACATTGTTCTTTCTTTTCTGCAAGTTTCCATCCTCCAGGTCTCAGGGAAAGCACGCAGGCACCTGCATGGGACCTGAAGCGTGTTATCACTGGATTGTAGGCATTGCCTCTCTCTGCCTCATTTTCCTGGTGTCCTCACAGCTCCTGCAGACCTTAATCATTCATTTTCACATAAAAGTTTCCTACTGCTGTTGCTAAGTTTCTCAGCTGTACATCTGACCTGCGCAAGCTGCTGAACCAAGAGTAGGTTTGACTTACTACTCACACAGGTGTAGATCAGGTTAAACCTTGCTTTGAAGTCAGTACTGTTAGTTTAAACCTGTAGCAACTAAAGAGGGACCTGTCAGTGTGAGGTGAGCTGCCTGCGTCTGTTACTGAGAGATCTGAACGCTGATGTCTCCAGACTGTTCCACAGCTGCTGCTCTTCACAGATGACCATGACATGGGATTCAATTTATTTAAGGTAGGATTTGAATTTTCTTTCCCTTTTTCTTCTTTTTCCCAAAATGTGTTTGCTTGAATGGGAATTGCATATTTCCCTATCCTGTTGAAATAGGGAAAAATAACAAAGTAGGAAAAACAGCCTACACTAAAGGTGTTTCTTTGAATATATATTTTCTAGCTTCCTTAGAAATGCAATAGCGATCATCTAATATATGCTAATCCGCTTTTTATCTGTGCTTAAAGTTTAATTGTTCTTCAAATTAAACACAGATTAGGACCAAATTTTAAAGAAGCCACACTGCAGGCTGAGAAATGGCAGATGCCATCCCAATATTGGTAACTGAACATTTCAGCCTCCAGTTATTTTCTAAGGAGCTCAGATCACAGTGTTTCTCTCATCTACTCACACATCCAATATTGGTTGTGCTTGCTGCAGACCAGTCACAAACTAATGAGACTCTTGCTCTGTCCATTAGTAAAACGGAGAGTCAGACTCATCAGGACAGTCCCAAAGTGACCACACAACTGACCGCATAAAATAAGAATTCAGCAACAACAGAATGAGAGCATGGGGCCTGAATCAGACCGGATGCTCAGCAGTCACCAAAGAGCTGAGCACGTCTCTTCTGACACACTGACAGGACGTAGTAAGGGAGCAGTGATAAATCCAACACATTTGTCAAATGGAAAGGTAATAGAGAGGTAGATTTGAGTGTATGCAAACAATTTTTTTTCTGTGAGCATTGGAATAGTTTTACATTTTTTTAAATCAGGTTCGAGGGAAACTTAAATCTTTGATACTCAAATGGTGATTTTGAGCTAGGCAAAAAGAGATGCTATAGCCCATGTGTGACTCCAAGTTGTTCATGGTGAGAAGGCAGAATAGACAGAGTCTATAGCAGATGTCACTGACAGTATTCTCTTATGTTTTATAGATAGTCACACCTACCAGATGCTGCACAAAGACCAAGTAGTATTAATTACTATCAATAGTCCCAAGTTCAACAGCTTGAGCTGCAGGGATAGCCAGGTTTGCAGTGATGCTTGAGCCACCATCTGCAGTGAACAGTATTGGTGCTGAAAATTGTTCAGAGGTGATGCTAGTAGTAGTCATGCACAGAGTCTTTGATGATTGTGATGCCCTCACTGGACGTCCTTGCTAAGGTGCCAGTGCTACAGGTGGATCTCTTTTTTTTCAAGTACAGAAGGACATGCTCTGTGGATTATTCCAGCAGATAAGTATCTTTCTGACAAACAAGCTCAACCAGAAGGTGTTGCCATGAAATCTGGACCTTTGAAGGTAAGTCAAGTACTTGCAGTAACAGAAGAAATGTGATATGTGTCACTGTGGAACAACAGTGCCAGACATGACAAGTAGAAGCTTGCTTTTGTACCATTCCACTGAGTCCCTCAAAGTCCATCAAAGAACTTTCTGTGAAAATTCTCTGCCTCTGTTACCCTGTGGGTAGGCCAGAACTGTATGTATCCTCCAGTTTCTGGAGCACCAAACTGATCTCTCGTGCTACAGCAAAGCATTAAGCATCATTCATTATGTCTGCAGTCCTTACCTACCATAGCTCCATTTCTGCTCCCAGCACAGCAAGCAGCAGGTCTGTTTTATCTGGTGAGAGCACAGCACGAAGTGGGCTGCTGAGCCTACTGGCTTCCAGCATGATGCTCTCTAGTCCCAGTAAATGGCTGTTGGCACAGGCTGGCTTTTGCTGTGCTGCAGGTGGTAGCCTCTTGTCTGAAGTGAGTTTCTCATCTGCTGACCCTTCCAGCAGCTGTTCTGGAATAGCACAGAAGTGATGAAATCAATGGGAATGTTACAAAAGCGCAACTTCCACCGTGTGTTTCCTGGAGCTTGCTCAGACACCAGTATGCCATGTGTCCTACTCTCCCCGTGTTACCACACAAACCTCGTGATGCCTTGGCTCTCTGTGCAGTACAGAAACTGTTGTACATATTGGTGGGGATCTTACTTCCATGTGGGAGTTACTTCTGAAAAATCCGTTAATACTAAGGGTGCAGCTGCCTGCAGCCAGAGCACTCAGAAGAGACATGATATAATTTGTGGACCACATACGCATACTTTAGACATTTCTCTATCTGCAGAACATGTGGATCCGAACTCTCTGTCTCCCACTGTATATTCCAGTGCCCAAATGTTAAGAGTTCCTCTTCTCAGCCAACCAATGTAATGTACCGAACAGCTCTCTATGCTCAGTCTAAAAGAATCCACTTGGTTCTATCTCCACCCTTCTAAGTAACTGTAGATGAGACACATTAATGGTCTTTGCCTCACTTTTTTTTCCTCTGTAAAACTGTGGTAGTGATCCTGGTTTATTTGTAAAACACGAATTGATGAGAAGAGCTGTCAAAGAGCTAAGTATTGTCATTACCTGAGCAATCTCTTCATTTCTCCATTAATCCTGTACAAGACACAAGTACTCTGCTTACCAGACTTGATGTACACGATGGTACAATGCTGAGGACTCATATATTATAGAAAAAAATTCTGGGAAAGAGATCCTTTTGTCTTGCTCCAGTGATGTCAATTGGACTAGGCAACTTTTTAAAATGGGAATTTATCTTTACAAAGATTTGTAGCCAAGCCTTTCCAGTTTGTTAAAATGTAATTAGTGTCTGCTTGTTAATATGATGTTCATTGATTTTTAAAGTACACAGACTTCAAAGCTGAAAATAAATAAATAAAAAGAGAGATAATTCAAACCAGAGTGGAACAGCTTGGACAGTTTTACTCTTTTGCCAGGATCCCAAAGCTGTTGTGTTCAAACAATGCCACAGTTTGAGTGGAAATGTGACATTAAATCCAAACCCTGCATGTCAGCTTTTTTGCAAATGACTATCCAGGATTTCACTAAAATCTTGAACCACAAGAGATCATGTTGTAGGGATTTTTATTGCTTAACAGCTCATGATAGTCTTCTGTTTCTCTATTATGCATAATAGGCCTAGGTACCTACAGCCTAGTAGTTCAAATGCTATAGGTACAGGACAAATGGCAGAGCAGCAGAGAAAAGCAATCCTGCAGTAATTCAGCAGAGTAACAAAGTGAGAATTGCCAAATATTAACCTAAGAGAAATGGTGCAAAGGTAATGAAAGCAGATTGTAACAGATCTGTTAGCTGTAAAAAGAGAAGCAAAGAATCAAGTTGTGG